CATCCTTACCTTTCCCTCCATTTCCCTCATTGCGTAAAAGAGAGCACTTGCGTGCTCGTGTAGGACCGTGTGTGGGCATGTGTGAGTGCTTACCTAAGAGTCTATGACAACATGCTTGTAAGAGGTCAGACCTGAAATGAATTATTTCCCTTTTGTTCCATGAACTCCATAACAAAGATACCGCAATCAAATCTACAAATTAAAATACACACACACACCCATATATGATAAGGTCATGATAAAAGACTTTTCTAGTAAAGTTTATATAATTTTACATAATAATTGTCGACTCACCCATTGCGCCGTGGGAGGATGACGTTTTCCATCTTGGAACAGAAGTCCGTAAATGGTACATTTCTGAAGAGTTTTTCCATGGCAAGCAACTAGACACATAAAGCATAAATTCTACTCCTCCGGTTCTTAATATAAGACCTATTTAACTAATATGATTAGATTAAGAAAATTAGATATGTTAGTTGATTATAAAAAATATGACACGTTTTTCCTAAAATACCATAATCATCTTTCTTAATACCTCATCTTTCTCTTCTACTTGATTATAGTTGAGGAAGTATCCATAAGGTTAATTTAGAGAAAACTGATAAATTTGATAAATGAGTCTTATATTTATGACCAAAACTAACTCAATAATTGAGTCATATATTAAGGATCTTAGGAGTATAAAATCAAAAGAATAATTGATTGATTAATGTTGTAAACATTGCAATTACCTAACACTCACCAATTTTTGGTTGTCTCGTCACGTTCTGTTTCGGTCACATATGTATTGGGTGGAGAATCCCATATTTCAATCTCTTTATTCTTTAAATGGATAACATATAAATAAAAATGTCCCCCATCTGACTTTGCTTCATCGTGAACAGGAATAAATATCTATTATTTGTGATAACAAAAATCAAATTGATATATATATATATATATATATATAGTAGGGGAAAAAAAAAGGTAATCATGTTGACAAAGAAACTTTTTCAATAAAGAGTTGAGAAGATATACCTTCTCACAGGATTTTAGCTCAGACTAAGACATATAATTTCCTCTCATTTTTAGACCATGGACAAAATTCTTGAAGTGACCTATGTTGCCTTCCAGTGCTGTTTTCTATAATTATGTCATGAACGAACCATTAAAAGTTATGGTCAATGAATTAGTTTTAGATTAAAAAACTACTTGACATACAGAGAAAGGGAATAGGAAATCACCGAAAATGCCACAGGAAGGTACCAATTCGAAGGCACAGTTTTACTCTTTCGCTCAACATGGTTTAACATCTCTACAAAAATATCTATTACCTAAGAATGCATAAAATTAAATATTAATATAACTAAAACCTTGGTCATTAATACTATAACAGAATATAAGAATGTATAAATGCTTACCAATGAATCCAAAGGAGTCTCTGGTTTAAGTGTGATAAAAACATCTTGAGTCAAATATGAGAGTGAGGAAATAAAAACCTCATCTTCAGGACTGAAGAATTAGAACAATATACTTATCAAAAAATAGAATCAGAGTGATTTAAAGAAACAAATCAAAAAATAAAATATATTCATATGTCCATAGTAGAAGCGTATATACATAGTGGGAAGTATATGAATCTAACCTTAAGCATTCAAACGCATATTGTATGACCTGCAAGTCTTCAATCTCCCAATCCGAAACAGAAGATGACCCAACTTGAATCCTTTCCTGATTGTTAGCTTCGGCTTGGATTTGTCCTGCTTCATTGGACAATGCTATAATCTATTAGACTGTCCAATGACTGAATGAGATTTCTTATTAAAAAAAAAAAAATCCCCTCTGCATGATCTTGGAAAAAAGATCGTCCAGGAGGGAGTATAATCATATATAACTACGTACCTTGTTGAGAATGAAGGAGGTTGTCTCTGAGATCTTTGGAGTTTCCTTTGTCTGAAACAAAGTTTGGACATACTCGAATGCCTTTGCCTTTTTCTCCATTAATATGAGATCTGATCCTGCTAGCACCTCCTGCGAATTCCCATTCACAATATTTACACTTCACTCTTCGTCCTCCCTCCAATAGCTCAACGTGTTGCCACACATCATCCCTTGGCCTTCCACCTACCTTTTCCATTATTACTTTTCCTGCATACGCAATATATATATATAGACACTGAACAATTAAAATTGAAGTAACACTGTTCAACAATTTGGGGCTTGAGCTTTCGTCAATAAATCTAATCTACTTTTCTTGCGGATACAAATCGTATACCTTTCCTCAATATTCATGCAATTTGATCGAGCACGGTAATGAAGGGACGAAGATTATTGTGCGCAGAGAAGCTTCAGAGATTGACCACAGAATAGGAATGTGATGATGAAGAAGAAGGACTCTGGGGGAAGAGTGAGCCTGAAATAATTACTGGGTGTATTGTACAGTCCAGCTGTATGACAGAGTGCTTTATCAGAACGGTGAATGAGAAAGAGAGGACAAGATTCTTGTCTGATTGGCCCATTGACTCCGTTGGCGGAAGCGGGAACCACCTTTTATTTAAAACCTATTTTCATATTTAAATTGGTTGTTGAACTTCTAATCTCTAAACTTTAAACTAATTAATACTCCATCGTATTACAAAGCATCTACATCGAAGCGTTCAACTTGCCAACTCACAATATAAGAAAAGAATACTCCTCTTGTCTTATTCATAGAGCAAAGAAAAAAGACATTTTCTAATCCTATTCATAAAGCACTGAGAGAAATTTTTTATATGGATATACAATTTTACCATTTATTTATTCTTGTGTTGAATTTGTTTACATAAAATATAATGTATATTAAATAGGAATAAAGTTAAAAAATTTTTGAATTTTAAATGAGAGTTAATGAAATTTAAGGTTTTTCTTGATCTACATAAAACATATTAGAAGTACCTTATAAATAAAACTAGTTGAGTATAATAGTAGTTCACATAATCAAATTGAAAAGAAGAAATCAAAGAGAACAAATTACTGAATGTTACTCATTTATACTTAAATATAAAAATGAGTTGCTACGTTGATTTTGCATTTAAATGTAGGACCTTGGTCTATTTTCATTTTTATATGTATTATTTTTTAAGACTAAATTATGTAATATATATAAATTGATATATAATCTAATATTACATAAAAATATTTTAAAAAATCATGTCACATTTATTAAAATTAAATAATTTATCTAAATTTCTTACATTAAATATTTAAGGAAAAATGACAAAAAAATGTTAAAAATTACTAAATATCAAATCAAATTGATAACAACACTTTATTTGGCGTTGATGACACTAAATTTGTAAATAATAATATATTTTTGGGAGAATTACAATGAGGTCTCAAATAAGGAAAACAATTGAAAAACAAGTCTCAGATGTTATTATTCTCATTATAGGACTTGTCATTATAAACTGCTGAGGTTGTTATTAGGACCTCTTAGTAATTATTTCTTTTATGTGGGATTTGATTGTAATTCTCCCTAAATTTTTATTGACGTTTTTTATTTGGCATTTAATAATTTTTAGTTTTTTTTATTTTTTTAATATTCAATAAAAAGGTATTACGAGTCTTGAATTAGAGCGTGATTGAAACAGTAGTGTTGCAGGCTATAGGGGTTACAGGAAGGGTGCTCAATGATTGGAGTTGTTTAAAATAAACTCTTGTCATCATTTTAACCTAAACCAAAAACTTATTTCAGCCATTTGCTTCATATTTCATAAATAAACATGATCGTGACTCTAAGCATGTTGGCTTGTTTGGAAGGCAATAAATGATTATGGGACGTTGTATTAGTAGTCTAGTATTCATGTGAGGGCGTAGAGCATACATTGTTCTACAGCTGCATGACATGGTGCTTTATTATTAGGAAATTTTTTTAGCACAGCAAAAGTGACTTTACTAAAGACCACACGATTTTTGAAATTATACGGTAAAACCAAAGCATCAAACTCAAAAGGAAAAAAAAAGTTTTGTTTTGATGGTAAATTACCAAAATATTATTTATTTATTATTTTTACAAGTATATATATGTATTTTAACATGTGGCCATAACAAAAATATGTGTATATATAAAAATTTATAACTCTCAATTTATATTATAACCACTAGTCCCAAAATTTATGAATGCTTATGAGTTTGGGGCTTGAGTTTTCGTCAATAAATCTAATCTACTCTTCCTGCACATACCGAATCATCTACCTTTCCTTAACATGCATGCGATTTGATCGAGCAAAGTAATCAAGAAATCAAGGTAATGAATCCCAGCGCAACTTCGGAGATTGATCAATCTTGAATCTGCCTAAGTAGAGAATGAAGGATTGTGCAAAGGCAGATTCTGACTTCTGGGCAAACAGACTCTGAATGACTATTTCACGTGAATGGCCTTCGTGTTCGAAACCTATCCCGTTTGTCTTCCCCGCAATACATTTTCTTATATTTTCTAGGTCCTCTCATCTAGAGAAAGTTGACCCACCAAATGGCTTGTGAGAAATCTGATTCAGAAACTTGTCTAGCTTCTTCTTCTTCTTGTTTGTGCTCTTCTCCTCACAGCTTTTTCTCCAAATCTATCATGTTTGCGAATCTGTGCATTAACGTTATTATCATCCACACGTGATCAAGTTGCGAAACAAATTAGAAGCTCCAGTTGAAAATCTCTTGCTTCCTTTCAAGGGAGATAATGAAGAAGAAGAAGAAGATGATGATGATAGTGATATATAAAATAGTGTCTCTGACGTATCAGTTTTGTCAGTTTCGTTTCTTTGATGCTTGCTCATGTTCATCGAATTGGGTTGATACAGAGAAAAATATAGCGAGTGATTCTCAAGTTGTCTGCTTCAACTTCACCAGATTCACTTCCATCTGCTAATGTGGACCTATCGGAACTCATTTCTGATGATAGCTTGTCTGGAGAATTTGGTTTGAAATATGGAAATCTTTCAAGTTGAAGTTCTTTTGGTAGCAATGGGTGCTTCTGCTGTAGCTGTTTGCCTTCTGTATCATAGACTTGAACAGGAATCTCCTCGTTCAATATGGAAGCTTTCCTTGGACCAAACATAACAGTTTCTGCATAATCAAAGAGGCTTCTCAACAAATACTGACACAACTTATTCTGAAAATTGTTACTGAAGGAGAATGCTGCATTATTTCATTTGAAGGACATACCAAAAGGGGGAGACTGGATTGGAGATCCTGAGGACGTATTCATTATCAGAGAGTGGAGTAATGAGGTCATCATCCAACAAGTCTTGCCACAACTGCCCTGTGTCGTACCTACTGCTCCCAATTTAAATCCACAGATCACATACTTCAACTCAATCCAAAAATAAAAAATAAAAAATTCAAAAACAGAGCATAAGGGTACAATTCATTCTTCCTCTTGTAGGACCATGCATACCTCTCTGCCAAATCCTTCCCTCTTGCTTTCCAATCCACCTCTTCACATGTTTTATCACATAAACAAAGTCCATAAATCATGACCTGAGAAAGCGAGGAACAGGGTGCTACACACAGAGACAGAGGAGCCTGTAATTTGCAGACCCAGCGTCTCAAAAACCAAAACCACAGTTGACGCCGTTCTTATCCGTGTGTTTCCACTAAATCTTGACTGATCAAAAACTTTTCTTACAACACTTAATAATGTGGTTTTCAGGTTCCAAAGAGAAGTCCAAAACCTTAAAATTTAGGGAAGGAAAGAAAGTAGTAAAAGACAGAAGAGGGAAGCATACAACATTGGAAGTGAGAGTCAACAAATCATGACGTGCAAGTGGGAACAATTTTCTTAAAGGTAACAGAAACGTGCAAGGAATTTTACGGGAATGTAATGAAAGAAACAGAGAAGTTAAAACACCTCGAAGATAGACTCCACTGCAAGCCAGACGATGAATACGTATGAGATGAGGTTCTTCAGAACGACCCATCAAACTAAGGAAGTACACTATATGGATCCTTCTCACTTCACCACCTTTACTTCCTTCCATCTCCTTCTCTCTCTCTCTCTCTCTCTCTCTGTCTCTCTCTGCGCTGCAATCCCAGATCTCTCTTCCTTCAATTCACAAACTTAACTCTCTGCTACTTCACAAGCAAGCAATGGCAATTTATATACACTATAGAAATCAGCTAACCTGCGATAAGAAGAAAGATCTCTGTCTCTCATGGTGCCGGCAGCTACTAAAATAGGAGTTGATAATAATCCAATATTGCCTTTCGATGTCTGATTGATTACTATATATGGTGAAGATAATGCAGGCCCACTGGAAACAGAGTCGTACTTGGAGTAGCGTGCCTGTTTTCTTTAAATAATTTGAATTTGAATATTCTCATGCCATATAGGAGGACTTCTAATTTTATATGATTAACACATTATTTACATGAACCGCTTCTGTTTATTTATTCATTTATAATTATAATTAATAATCAGTTCTTGTCCTCACGGCATTACTCTCAAAAAAGGAAAATTCTGTTTCTTTCTTTCTGTTGCCGTATCTTTCCTTTTTGTTTTTCAAAAGTTTGATTACAAATTTCAAATCTTAATTTTGAAAATAATTCAACTACAAATACAATATGATCTTTCCTCAAAGTCAGCTTTTTTATTCATGATGGCGAAATACTTATATGTATTGTATGGCTAGCATTCATACTTAACATATAGGTCCTGTTTGGTACGAAGTATTAAAAATAAAGGATAAGAATTGAGATTGAAAGTGCAAAACTATTTTAAAAGAGTGTTTAGTATGAGTAATTGTATGATACTTTAGATTAGACAAATCCATATATGTGGGATTGGGAAATACCATAAGGGGAGGTGGTATTTTCCAATCTTATCTATCGCGGGATTGCCTAATCCCATGTGATACAAAATCGCTCATGCTAAGCATCCTTTTAATATATGTTTTCAACTCAATCCCAATTCTTATCCCTTATTTTTTAATACTTCACCAAACATAACCTATAGCACCTTGAAGAATAGATATGCCATGTGCATTTTCTTAAATTTGTGACATAAAAATTTTAAAAGCTTACAATCAATTTTTATTTGTAATTTAAATACTTATTTTGTCAAATGTTGAAAGCTATGTACAATCTAATCCATATAAAATTTAAATGATTTCACTTGAAAAAAAAAAGTTGACAACCAAATGAGAATTGAATAAATGGTTTCACTGCAAATATAACAATAAATTATATTAAAATAACACATAAAAATATACAAAAATAAATCACTTTATTTAAAACAATAAAAATCAAATAAAAGTAAACAGGATTTTTTTTTTTTGCAAAACTGTCATCAAATATTATAGATATATTTTTCCAGTTAATTATTAGCGCACCCACTCGAGAGTACAAGTTTAAATATTACACGCCCCCTCTATTGTTAATTTTTGCATCACATCCTCCATATGTTTTTCTTACTAGCGTATATGTTTCTAACTTCAAAATTAATTTTTTTCTCACTCAGGTCATTAATAAAAAAAATATTAAATAACTCAAAATTTCAAATTTGTCTTGTAAAGCTACACGTGCACATATGAACCTCCGACAGAGGTAAGTCACTAACAAAAAAAAAAAAGTACTAGATAATTCTCAAATTTTCTAACTTGTCTTATAAATAGAAACAAATCACTCTCCAAAATGTTGTCCTACAAACAGAAACTGAGGACAACCAATTTTAAGATACTTGAAAGCATTTTAGTATAGTTAGTAAGGTTTTATTCATAAATAAGTCCCTTGTTCAGAGTTCATATGTAAATTTGCCTATGTAATTCGACTTGAGTCCAGTATAGATAAGTTCCTTGAATAAGTTTTCATGTCATTCTTCCAATAAAATAGTTTTGTTGCTATAAGCAAGTAGTTGCATTACAAACCTAGTTTCATCATAAATAAATGTACCGACTAAAATAGCGCAATTGAACAAATATAGAAGCACACAACATAAATATAGAATCAAAAGCAGTTTTTAAATAATGACTTAAAGGATATCAGGTCCTATCATATTTAGTGTCACACACAGCAATAACCGTGCCCTGCATATTACATTACCAAAAAGAATTAGAATAATTGAGAGGCATGCTACAAACAACTTTGCAATTCGACTTCGTACCATATGGTTATTTGGGTCTAATATAATTAATGAATTTTAGGCATTCTAACTGCGGGAGGAGAAGCTCATGAAGTATATTCATCATCAACATTATTGGAGTTCACTCTCTGAGGGGGTCTTAATTGATTGCAGGATTCAGAATAGAATGTTTGGAGAGAAGGGCAGATCATGATGCCTCTGTATACGAGATCTAATTGTGGCATGTCAAATAATTCAAGAGATGTCAACCTGGGAAGTTCAATACTAGGGGGCAAACAGCTGTTCTGCAGAAGGGCCATGAGTTCGTCAACACCAACAAGTTCCGGTACAGAATGATCCTCTCCAAATATTTCTTTCATCTCCTCACAACTACGAACACAAATGGTGCGCAGGTTTTGGAGGAGTGCTGCTAACTCAAACGCGATCAGAGTCTCCATGCTGTCGCAATCCTGAATTTCAAGATCTGTGAGATGAGAAAATAGGGTGGATTGATGCAAGGAATCAGCATGTGGTGACACAAAACTTTTCAGTTTGTTCAAAGCAGAGAGTCTTAGACGTCCAACAAGTTGGAAAGAGCAGCAAAAGGGGCAATTGCAACACCACAAGTACTCCACATCATCATAGAGGCAAATATCCAACAGTTCAATTTGGTGTGGATTATTGTTGTGGCCATATGATAAAACAGTACATAGGGGTCCAGCACCTGTCCCTTGCTGGCAATTAATCATATCCAACTCCTTCATGTCTGCAGGGAGTATTACTTTTTCATGTCCCAAAACCATATTCTCAATAACCACCTTTTCATGGGATATTCTATGATAACATTTCCATCGCAAAGAACATCACTTAGGCCAAGATCGTAACTTCTATCCTGTAAAGTTAAATGATAGCTTCTGGTTGCACAATTATGGCCCAGGAAGCTCACAAAGGTATTGAATATACTAACGTCACGAAAATAGGCTACTATAACTTCCAACTTTTTCAAACCTTGTGTACCTTGTACTGTCACGTCTGTTTTGTATAGGGGACCACCCAGCTCAAGATGCTCTAAATTGGTCAATTTGGATATGAGAGATATTGACATTACCAGCTTATCTGTATGGAGCAGATTCAGGTATCTAAGATTGACCAATGATTCCAAGCCCACAGGTGCTTCACTGATGGCAGTAAAAAATAGATCCAATGATATTAACCGTTTCAATTTTCTTAATGATGGAATGAAACTCAATTTTCTACATCCTGAAAGTAACAATGCTGTGAGACATTCCAAGCTAGACACCGATCTGGGCAAACGCTTGATTCCAGTCTCAGACAAGTCAAGTGTTTTAAGAGTAGGCATGTTGTTAAAAAAATCGTCTGAGATATAGTTGAGTTTTGCATTGTGGTTCAAAAGCAATGTAGAAAGTTGAGAACACCTAGGACATGTGCCATCTGGAATTGTTTGTATCTCATTCCACATCAGAAAAACTTTTTGTAGATCTTCTTTCCACTGGTCATCACTTGGTATTTCTGTTAACTTCTCAGAAGCTTTTCTCATAATTTTACCAGTTTCTTCCGCAATACCAACAGCAAGGACTCTAAGGAATTTGTTTGTCATCCAATAACCAACATCATCATAATCCAACATGCTATGATTCTTTAATTTACGTAACATGTTCCAGCCTTCGTTATACTGCACCCCCAACTTCTTTCTCTCATCAATGCTTTCATAGACAAATCTTCTTATCAAATGATCAGCATCGTCATTATCAAAATTTCCATCGGTACTTAAGATGCAATATAGGAAGAATCTTTGGAATTCGTCAATTAAGAAATCATAGCTAGATCTCAAAACTGGAAATACCCATTTGTCCATTTCATATTGCCCATTGTCCAAGTTTTCAAGACATTCCAACATATGTCTCCACTCTCTAGCTTCTGTTTTCCCCTTCATGCTTGTCGCGATTCTAACAATAGCTAGGGGAAAACCCTCACATTTTTGTGCCACATTCCGTGCAATATTTTCCACTTCCGAAGACAGTTCCTTATAGAATAATCCCAAAAACTCAACAAACAAAGCCCAACTATCTTCTTCATCTAGAGGCTTCACTTTTATTACCTTCTCACAATCCATACCTTGACACACTTCCCTTATACGGGTAGTCAAAATCAATTTAATTCGATCATTTGATATGGGAAATCCAATGTCCCGTAGTAAAAAATGATCCCAAACATCATCTAAAATAATAACACATTTATTCATCTCTTTGAATGCTTGAAATAATTTCAGGGCAATTGTTTTAACCTCATACTCATCAGATATATCCAAATCAATTGATTTGGCTATCACTTTTTGCAAATGCAAGATGCTATTTTGTGATACAGTTACCCAAATAACTTTAATGTCATTACGAATAAGCTCATGATGTATATGGGTTGCTAAGGCTGTTTTTCCTGACTCTCCTCCTCCCCAAATTCCAATAGCTGACTTCCCCATAATCACCTCCTCCTCCTCCTCCTCCTCCCCCTCTCCCCCTCCTCCTCCTCCTCCTCCATCACCCTTTATCCATTTCCTTATATCTTTACTCTGCCTCTTAAAAACCCTTCCTATTAAATCTGTTGTAGGCAATGCATAACCTTCGGAAGATCCTAGCGACCAGAATAGTAAGAAATAATTAAAGATGGTGAGAAGAATTAAAAAAATTAAATTAAATATATGGCATTCAAATTTTAACCAATCATACATATACTCTTTTCGTCTCTGTGTAAATCGTATTTGGGAATATTTTAAGAATTCAAAATGTAAGCCACCACGAAATTTAGGCAGAATTAAATATTTTTCTGCACTTGTCCCTCATTAAATAATAAAAAAAGTCATGGAGACGAGAGTGCTATATAAGAGAGGGTTACAATTCAATGGGAGTAATTTTTGAATGTTATGACAATTTTTTGGCCAAAAAACATTATGAAAAATTTTAAAAGTCTAAAAAATTCAACAAATTTTATTAGATTTTTCATAAATGACATCTAAAATGAGTTGGACATATATTTTATATGCAAATACCCATACCTTTTTCTAAACGATCATGTCTATACACCCCGTCAACTCGTAATCGTTTATTGCCATCTTGCTTTTCAACTTGTGCATAGTGGCGTCTTGCTTTGTCATATATATTTTGTTTTTCTTGGTTTAGGTCACTGTTGAGCAACTTCAAAGCCAAATCCTCCCTTTCTTTTTCACTGTCAAACTACATAGTTGTCCGTATCATTTATATGACCAAGGGTCTGTTTAGGATGAAGAAAATGGAGGAGAGGAAAGAAGAAAAAATATTTTAACAAGACTGATTTAAAAAATTGAAGAAATAGAGTTAAAATTTTTTAATTAATTATTAATACTCTTTTTATTTTACATATTATAGCCAGTCCCAAACCTGGATAAAGGAGGAGGGTTGTGTTAGGCCTCGATAGCCAATATAAAAACCCGTCAAATCTCATGAACATGGATCAATGAAAAAATTATGCTATTGCGAGGTCGTTGCTTAGAAGTAACACACTGTATGGCTCAAGTATAATGAGAAGTGAGCTAAAGCCGCTGCATCATCACCAGGATGTAGTGTTAAATGAGCAAGGGCTACCGCACTCTTTCGGATGGAGGCGGCTAAAGAAGTTAGTTCATAAGAGCAAGATTAGATTTGGTACTTGGAATATTGGGATTTTGAATGAGAAATCTATGGAGGTCGTAGGAGTTATGAGGAACAGAAGGATTAATATCTTGTGCCTCCAAGAAACTAAATGGGTTGGAGAAGTGTCCGCGGAATTTGGAGAGTGTAAACTTTAGTACACAGGAAAGGTGAGTGCAAGGAATAGTGTTGGGATTATTGTGGACGTAACATGGAAGAAGAATGTGGTGGGGTTAAATGGTTTGAGGATAGAATAATATCTTTTAGAATAATTATTGGAAAGCATACTTTCAATATCATTAGTGCCTACACACCTCAAGTTGGGGCAAAGACACACCTTAAAGATAAGTTTTGGGAAGATATGGAGGGGTTGATTCAAAGCACACCACTTGAAGAAAAAAATTTTATTGGTGAGGACCTTAATGGACATGTCAGCAAGGAAGGAGGGCAATTTGTTGAGGCTCATGGTGGTTTTGGTTTTGGGGAGCTTAACAATGAATGACAATCTATTCTTAACTTTTCACTTGCATATAAGTTCAAGATTGTCAACACTTGTTTTAAGAAGCGAGAGGAGCATTTAATCATGCACAAGAGTAGAGCCTCAAAATCATAGATTGATTTCTTTTTGGTTAAGAATCCGGACAGAAGACTACGTACTAATTGCAAAGTGATTCCTCAGGATGGGGTGACTGCACAACATAGAGTACTCACCCTTATGTGCGTTTTAAGAGTATCAAACAAAAGTACCATCAAGTGGTAAACCCTAGAGTTAAGTAATGGCAGTTAAAGGGTGAGAAGCGAAAGTTCTTAAAAAGATCCTTTTGGAGGAAGGGAACTTGGAGTTGCAGGGAAATACGAATATTATATAGGAAGAGATGGCTACAAGAGTGCATATGGTAGCTAAAGCAATCTTGAGAGAATCTAATTAAAGGTTGTGGTTAGAGAGAGAAGGAGACTTGGTGGTGGGATAAGAATGTGTAAGAGAAAGTCAGACAAAAAAGAGATTATTTTAAGGCCATGCATTTATGCAATAGTATAGAAAATTGGGAAAAGTATTGTTTGACTAAAAAAGAAACGAAAAGAGCAGTGAGCGAAACACGTACTAAAGCATATGAGGGGTTTTATAAGAAGTTAGGAACAAAGGTGGAGGAAAGAAATATTTACAAGATTGCAAAGCAAAAGGAGAGAAAAAAGACAGATCTGGACCAAATGAAGTATATAAAGGATGAAGATGATAAAGTTTTAGTTATTGATAGGGATATTAAAGATAGATGGGATGCTTACTTTTACAAGTTGTTTAATGAGAGAAGCGATTGTGTGACTCAGAACTTACAGGACCTGCTAATTAGCAAAGATGATCGGAATTTGACCTTTTATCGCAAGATTCACATCGGAGAAGTTAAGACAACTCTTAAGAAAATGGACAATGATAAAACCGTTAGGCCTGATAATATTCCTATTAAAGCTTAGAAATTTTAGGCGAGAAGAGTGAATTGTGGCTAATCAAGCTTTTTAATGAAATCTTACGCTTCAAGAATATGCCGGATGAATGGAAGCAAAGCATTTTAGTTTCTATCTACAAAAATAAAGGAAATATTCAAAACTGTGCAAACTACAGAGGGATAAAATTTATGAGCCATACGATGAAGTTGTAGAAAAAAGTGATTGAACATAGGTTGAGATTGGAGACTTTTATTTCTGAAAACTAATTTGGTTTTATGCCGGGAAGATCCACAACAGAAGCAATCTGTTCACTAAAGGGGTTAATGGAAAGATATAGGAGTAAAGGAAGGGATTTACTTATGGTTTTTATTGATTTGGGAAAAACCTATGATCATGTGCCAGGAGAAGTACTTTGTAAGGCTTTGGCAAAGAAAAGTATACGGGTTGCTTATATCAAAGCCATACGAGATATGTATGAAGAGGTGACTACTATTGTAAGAACACCTAGAGGTGAGACAAAGAACTTCTCCATTAAGATTGGCCTAACTCAGGGTTCTGCTTTGAATACTTACTTTTTTGATACTGTTCTGGACATTCTAACCGAGTCTATTCAAAAAAAAAATCTCTAAGTGCATGCTTTTTGCGGATGACATATTTCTCATGGCAGAATTAAAAGAAGAGAAAAATTAGAGTTATGGAGGACTTTAGAGTCAAAAGGTTTCCATTTAAGTAGGAGCAAAACAGAATATATGCATTGTAATTTTAGAGAAAGGCAAGAAAATGGTGATTTGCAGGTGAAGATAGGGGATCAAATCATTCTTTAAGTATCAAAGTTTAAATACCTAAGATCTATTGTACATGAGGATGGTGAAATTGATAGAGATGTTTCTCATAGAATACAAGCTGGCTGATTAAAATGGAGGAAGGCTATTAAAGTTATTTGCAATAAGAAGGTACCTGAGAAGCTTAAGGAAAAATTTTATCGAACTGCTATAAGACCAACTATATTGTACAGCAGTGAATGTTGGGCAATAAAAAAAAGAGAGCATAAAGTGGGAGTAGTAAAAATAAGGATGTTGAGATGGATGTGTGGTCATACAAGAAAAGATAAGATTTGAAACGAAAATATTAGAGCAAGAGTTGGTGTGGCGCCTATCGAAAAGAAAATGGTTAACAATCGCTTAAGGTGGTTTGGACATGTGCAGAGACAGCCATTGAAAACTCCAGTGAGGAGGGTAGATCATACAGTTTGGAGCCCCATAAAAAGGGACAGAGAAAGAACGAGAAGAACACTCAATGAGGTCATTGAATGAGATCTTTTGGTCAACAACATATATAAAGATTGGGTTGTTGACAGAGCACAATGACATTGTGTGATTCATATAGCCGACTCCATCTAGTGAAATAAGGCTTTTGTTGTTGTTTTCTCTTTATTCAAATTTTAAAATCTCATTTCTTCAATTTTTTTAAATTGACCTCATTAAAATTTTGTCGCCCTTACCTTCCCCTCCATTTCCCTCACAGGGTAAAAAAAAGTATTTGCGTGCTCGTGCAGGACTATGCATGGGCATGTGTGAGCACTTAGCTATGAATCTATGACTAGATGTTTGTAAGAAGTCATACCTGAAATGAATTATTTCTCTTCACATAATTATATGATTGTTCCATGAACTTCATAACAAAGATACCGCAGTCAAATCTACAAATTAAAAGATACATATATGATAAGGTCATGATAAAAGCTTTTTCTAGTGAAGTTTATATAATTTTACATAATAATTGTCCACTCACCCATTGGGCTGTGGGAGGATGTCAGTTTCCACCTTCGAACGAAATACCGTAAATGCTACATTTACGAAGAGTTTTTCCATGGCAAGCAACTAGATGCATAAAACACATATTCTATAAAATCAAAAGAATAATTGATCGATTAATATTGTCAATATTGCAATTATCTAACACTCACCAATTTTTTGGTTCTCTCGTCACGTTCTGTTTCAGCCACAAATGTATTGGGTAGAGAATCCCATATTTGAATCTCTTTATTCTTTAAATGGATAATATATAAATAAAAATGTCCACCATTTGACGTTGCTCCAATGTGAACATGAATAAATATCTATTATTTGTGATAAAAAAATTAAATTAATATATATGGTAAAGAAAAAAAAGGTCATGAGGTTGACAAAGAAACTTTTCTATAAAGAGTTGAAAAGACTGACATACCCTCTCACAAGATTCCAGGTCAGACATATAATTTTCTTTTATTTTTTGGCGACGGACAAAGTCCAAAAAGTAACCTATGTTGCATTCCAGTGCTGCTTTCTATAATTATGTCATGAACGAACCATTAAAAATTATGGTCAATGAATTAGTTTTAGATTAAAAAACCATTTGACATACAGAAAAAGGGAATAGGATATCACCGAAAATGCCACAGGAAGGTACCAATTCGAAGGCACAGTTTTGCTCTTTCGCTCAACATGGTTTAACATCTCTACAAAAATATCCATTACCTAAGAATGCATAAAATTAAATATCAATATAACGAAAACCTTGGTCATTATATTATAACAGAATATAAGAATGTATAAATACCTACCAATGAATCCAAAGGAGCCTCTGGTTTAAGTGTGATAAAAACATCTTGAGTCAAATATGAGATTGGGGAAACAAAAACCTCATCTTCAGGACTGAAGAATTAGAATGATATACTTATCAAAAAAATAGAATGAGAGTGATTTTAAAAAACAAATCAAAAAATAAAGTATATTCATATATCCTTATTAGAAGCATATATACATAGTGGGAAGTATATGAATCTAACCTTAAGCATTCAAACACATATTGTAGGACCTGCAAGTCTTCAATCTCCCAATCCGAAACAGAAGATGACCCAACTTGAATCCTTTCCTGATTGTTAGCTTCGGCTTGGATTTGTCCTGCTTCATTGGACAATGCTATAATCTATTAGACTGTCCAATGACTGAATGAGATTTCTTATTTTCAAAAAAAAAAAAATCCCCTCTGCATGATCTAGGAAAAAAGATCATACAGGAGCGAGTATAATCATATATAACTACGTACCGTGTTGAGAATGAAGGAGGTTGTCTCTGAGATCTCTGGAGTCTCCTTTGTCTGAATCAAATTTTGGACATACTCGAATGCCTTTGCCTTTTAATCCTTTAATATGAGATGTGATTCTGTTAACACCTCCTGAGAATTCCTCTTTACAATGCATACACTTCCATCTACCTTTTTCCTCCAATACCTCAACGTGTTGCCACATATCAACATGCTTTCGCCTTCCAACTGCCTTTCCCATTATTACTCTTCCTGCATACGCAATATTATATATATAGACACTGAACCAAAGTAATAATTAAAATTGAAGTAATACGTTCCACAATTTGGGGCTTGAGTTTTCGTCAATAAATCCAATCTACTTTTCCTGCACATACAAAATCGCATACCTTTCCTTAATATGCATGCAATTTGATCGAGCAAAGCAATGAAGGGATGAAGATTATTGTGCGCAAAGAAGCTTCAGGGATCGACCAACCTTGAATCTGTCTGAGTAGATAACGAGTAACTGTGCAAAGGCAGAAGCAGAAACAACAACAAACGAAGATGAAAATGAGGTCACATAATAATAATCAAATGGAAAAGCAGAGCAAAAACAGAAAATTACTGAATGCTATTTCAAGTTGAGGATTGAGGCATGGCGGACAGCTGATCCCGGTGAGAAACAGTAGTTGAGTCGAGTCCACAGAATAGGAATATGATGATGAAGACGAAGGACTTTGGGGGAAGAGTGCGTCTGAAATAAATAGTGTGTGTATTGTACAGTGCAGCTGTATGACAGAGTGCTTTATCAGAATGGTGGATGAGAAGGAGAGAAAGGACAGATTCTTGTCTGATGGCCCGATTGACTCCGTTGGCGGAAGCGGGAAACGCCTTTTATTTAAAACCTATTTTCATGTTTAAATCGGTTGTTGAACTTCTAATCTCTAAACTTTAAACTAACTAATACTCCATCTTATTACAAAGCATCTACACCGAAGCATTCAACTTGCCAACTCACAACATAAGAAAAGAATACTCCTATGCTCTTATTTATGGACGGAAAGAAAAGACATTTTTAGTTCTCTTTATAAAGTATTGAGAGAAATTTTTTACATGGATGTACAATTTTATTATTTATTTATTATTGTATTGACTTTGTTTATATAAGATATAGTGTATATTAAATAAGGATAAAGTTAAACAGTTATTGAATTTTAAATAAGATTTAATAAGGTTTAAAATTTTCTTTAGTCTATGTGAAACATATTTAAGAAAAAATGACAAAAAAATAAGTTCAAAATTATTAAATCTCAAACCATATTTGATAACAACATTTTCTTTAGCATTGACATCACTAAATTCATAAATAACAAGAAATTTTTATTGAAGTTTTTTATTTGACATCAATAATTTTCAGTTTTTTTTTATTTTTTTAATAGGTATTACAACTTGCAAGTCATGAATTAAAGCATGAGTTGAAACAGTAGTGTTTCAGGCTTTAGGGGTTTAAGGAAGGGTGCTCCATGATTGGAGTTGTTTAATACTACTTCGATTCTAAATATAATATTCATTTTATAGTATAATTTATATTTTATACTACAAAATAAATTTTATATTTAGGACCAGAAGAGTATAAACTCTTGTATCATTTTAACCTCAACCAAAAACTTATTTCAGCTGTTTACCTACCGTGACCCTAAGCAAGTTTAAGGGCTTGTTTGGAAAGCAGTAAAATAGTTTTTCAATCACAGCGTAGAAGTACTTCACCTAAATGATTATGGGACGCTGTACTAGTATTCATGTGAGGGCGCAGAGCATACATTGTTCTACAGCTGCATGACACGGTGCCTTATTATTGGGAAATTTTTTTAGCACGGCAAAAGTGACTTTACTAAAGACCACACGATTTTTGAAATTATACGGTAAAACCAAAGCATCAAACTCAAAAAAAAAAAAAGTTATGTTTTGATGGTAAATTACCAAGATATTATTTATTTATTTATTATTTTTATAAGTATATATATGTATTTTAACATGCGGCAATAACAAAAATATTAGTGTATGTATAAAAATTTATAACCCCCAATTTATATTATAACCACTAGTCCAAAAATTTATGAATGCTTATAAGTTTGGGGCTTGAGTTTTCGTCAGTAAACCTAATCTACTCTTCCTGCACATACCGAATAATCTACCTTTACTTAACATGCATGCGATTTGATCGAGCAAAGTAATCAAGAAATGAAGATTATGAATCGCAACTTCAGAGATTGATCACTCTTAAATCTGTCCAAGTAGAGAATGAATAATCGTGCAAAGGCAGATTCCGATAGTGACAAAACGAAGATGAAAATCGGGTCACATGCCAATCAAATGGAAAAGCAGAGCAAAGAGAGAAACTTACTGCATGCTACTTCAAGTTGAGGATCGAAGCGTGGCGGACGACTGACTCTGGTAAGAAGCAGTAGTGCTGCTGACTTGACGCCTCAACACAGAAGAAATCGCGCTAATAGATTAATATTAACTAAACAATTAGGGAGCCGTAATGAAGCGGCTGTGTATTAACGTGGGCTTGGGCTGTGAAGAGGGCACTAGGGGCCCTGCTACTTTGGGCTTAGGTTGAAAGCGAAGGGGCAGGCTGGAGGTGAAATTCAAAGATAATTGTTTTGTTATGTTTCCAAATTGAAATACTAAAACAAAATTTTTAATAATTCCAATTTATTTATTATGTGATATTATAATAATATTTTTATACAATATTAAATCTCCAACGTTAAAATATTAATTTAAATGATAGAAATGAGGCCCATTTTTATATATCTATCTCATATCTTTTTCTCAATCATTCTCCTGCATTTCTTTTCCTGTTTTCTTTTTCACTCATCATTTTCATAAAATAAGGGTATATTTTAAAAAATTACATATCTTATATATTTACTATTTTTAACTAATTTTAATCAACATTTTAATTTAGCCGCTGCTTAGGAGCAGAGGAAGTAATTTAGTTTTTAAATATTTTTATTAATTTAGGTTCCAGTAATGAGCATTAGTAAACTTATGTTAATTTACAACAGTTTAAGAATAGCATCAAATACGATAATTTTAAATAAAATATTTTGCACATTATTATACTCCTATATTAAAAACGGCAGCTACCACATGCAACCAAAGACAAGGAGCTGTCGGAAATGGTAAATGAATCAGTGATCCGAATAAATAGAAATAGCTATTAATTCTGAAGTCACACCAAAAAAAAAAAAAAAGAGCTCTGTGACGTTTCAGAAATTCTGCATTCACACAAGGTGAGCTTAAACTTCAACACTCTAAAGGTGAGGATAAGCTAGCAGAAGAAGATCCCGTTTGGTACCGTAAGACTACAACTGTAATGATTTTAAAAAGTTAAATTGAAGTGAAATTTAAATTTTAAAATTAAATAAAACATCAGAACAATTCGCGGATTAACTCGTTCGATGGGTAGAAAAATTTATAGCGACAAATCCAAATTTAGAACCTGAAAATATTGAAATATTCTCAATTTAATTTGATTAACACGTGACATATGACATGAAATAAATTAATTTGGATAGGGCTCGGGGAAACTGATGGGGTCAAAAGCAATTTTATTTTCGAACTTGATTCTCCACAGGCGATGGTCCGACTAAATGACTATTTCGCGTGAATGGCCTTCGTGTTCGAAACCTATCCCGTTTGTCTTCCCCGCAATAAATTTTCTTATATTTTGTAGGTCCTCTCATCTAGAGAACGTTGACCCACCAAATGGCTTGTGAGAAATCTGATTCAGAAACTTGCCTAGCTTCTTCTTCTTCTTCTTGTTTGTGCTCTTCTCCTCACAGCTTTTTCTACAAATATGAAACCTCATGCTATTAAAAAGAAACCGATACCGAACGCATCTTTATAAAAATCCATCTAACTTTAATCTTTGTCATAATCTTTAATTACCTGGCTTCATCATGCTGTTGGGGATTCCAACAACTTCCAACATTCCTGGCTGATCCTCGAAATCTATCATGTTTGCGAATCTGTGCATTAACGTTATTATCATCCACACGTGATCAAGTTGCGAAACAAACAGCTCCAGTTGAAAATCTCTTGCTTCCTTTCAAGGGAGATAATGAAGAAGAAGAAGATGATGATGATGACAGTGATATATAAAGTAGTGTCTCTGACGTATCAGTTTTGTCAGTTTCGTTTCTTTGATGCTTGCTCATGTTCATCGAACTGGGTTGATACAGAGAAAAATATAGCGAGTGATTCTCAAGTTTGTCTGCTTCAACTCTACCAGATTCACTTCCATCTGCTAATGTGGACCTATCGGAACTCATTTCTGATGATAGCTAATCTGGAGAATTTGGTTTGAAATATGGAAATCTTTCAGGTTGAAGTTCTTTTGGTAGCAATGGGTGCTTCTTCTTTAGCTGTTTGCCTTCTGTATCATACACTTGAACAGGAATCTCCACGTTCAATATGGAAGCTTTCCTTGGACCAAACGTAACAGTTTCTGCAAAATCAAAGAGGCTTCTCAACAAATACTGACACAACTTATTCTGAAAATTGTTACTGAAGGAGAATGCTGCATTATTTCATTTGAAGAACATACCAAAGGGGGAGGCTGGATTGGAGATCCTGAGGACGTATTCATTATCAGAGAGTGGAGTAATGAGGTCATCATCCAAAGTCTTGCCACAAGTGCCCTGTGTCGTGCCTACTGCTCCCAATTTAAATCCACAGATCACATACTTCAACTCAATCCAAAAATAAAAAATAAAAAATTCAAAAACAGAGCATAAGGGTACAATTCATTCTTCCTCTTGTAGGACCATGCATACGTCTCTGCCAAATCCTTCCCTCTTGCTTTCCAATCCACCTCTTCACATGTTTTATTACATAAACAAAGTCCATAAATCATGACCTGAGAAAGCGAGGAACAGGGTGCTACACACAGAGACAGAGGAGCCTGTAATTTGCAGACCCAGCGTCTCAAAAACCAAAACCACAGTTCACGCCGTTCTTATCCGTGTGTTTCCACTAAATCTTGACTGATAAAAAACTTTTCTTACAACACTTAATAATGTGATTTTCACGTTCCAAAGGGAAGTCCAAAACCTTAAAATTTAGGGAAGGAAAGAAAGTATTAAAAGACAGAAGAGGGAAGCATACAACATTGGAAGTGAGAGTCAACAAATCATGACGTGCAAGTGGGAACAATTTTCTTAAAGGTAACAGAAACGTGCAAGGAATTTCACGGGAATGTAATGAAAGAAACAGAGAAATTAAAGCACCTCGAAGATAGACTCCGCTGCAAGCTAGACAATGAATACGTATGAGATGAGGTTCTTCAGAACGACCCATCAAACTGAGGAAGTACACTATATGGATCCTTCTCACTTCACCACCTTTACTTCGTTTACTTCCTTCCATCTCCTTCTCTCTCTCTCTCTCTCTCTCTCTCTCTCTCTGCGCTGCAATCCCAGATCTCTCTTCCTTCAATTCACAAACTTAACTCTCTGCTACTTCACAAGCAAGCAATGGCAATTTATATACACTGTAGAAATCAGCTAACCTGCGATAAGAAGAAAGATCTCTGTCTCTCATGGTGCCGGCAGCTACTAAAATAAGAGTTGATAATAATCCAATATTGCCTTTCGATGTCTGATTGATTACTATATATGGTGAAGATAATGCAGGCCGCTGGACACAGAGTCGTACTTGGAGTAGCGTGCCTGTTTTCTTTAAATAATTTGAATTTGAATATTCTCATGCCATATAGGAGGACTTCTAATTTTATATGATTAAGACACTATTTACATGAACCACTTCTGTTTATTTATTCATTTATAATTATAATTAATAATCAGTTCTTGTCCTCACAGCATTACTCTCAAAAATGGTAAATTCTGTTTCTTTCTTTCCGTTGCCATATCTTTCCTTTTTGTTTTTCAAAAGTTTGATTACAGATTTCAAATCTTAATTTTGAAAATAATTCAACTGCAAATACAATATGATCTTTCCTCAAAGTCAGCTTTTTTATTCATGATGGCGAAATACTTATTTGTATTGTATGACTGGCATTCATACTTAACATCTAGCTCCTGTTTGCTACAAAACATTAAAAATAAGGGATAAGAATTGAAATTAAAAGTACAAAACTATATTAAAAGAGTGTATAGTATGAGTAATTGTATGATATTTGGGATTAGACAAACCCATATATGTGGGATTGGAAAATACCATGAGAAGATGTGGTATTTTCTAATCCTATCTATATGGGATTGCCTAATCCCACGTGATAAAAAATCACTCATGCTAAGCATCTTTTTAACATATGTTTTCAACCCAATCCCAATCCTTATCTTCCATTTTCAATACTTCGCACCACACGTAACTATAATATCTTGAAGAATAGATATGCCATGTGCATTTTCTTAAATTTGTAACATAAAAATTTTAAAAGCTTACAATCAATTTTTATTTGTAATTTGAATATACTTATTTTGTCAAATGTTGAAAACCATGTACAATCTAATCCATATAAAATTTAAATGATTTCACTTGAACAAAAAAAGGTGACAACCAAATGAGAATTGAATAAATGGTTTCACTGCAAATATAACAATAAATTATATTAAAATAACACATAAAAATATACAAAACTAAATCACTTTATTTAAAACAATAGAAATCAAATAAAAATAAACAGGATTTTTTTTTTGCAAAACTGTCCTCAAATATTATAGATATATTTTTCCAGTTAATTATTAGCGCACCCAGTCGAGAGTACAAGTTTAAATATTATACACCCCCTCTATCGTTAATTTTCGCATCACATCCTCTATATGTTTTTCTTACTGGCGTATATGTTTCTAACTTCAAAATTAATTTTTTTCTCACTAAGGTCACTAATAAAAAAATATTAAATAACTCTCAAATTTTCAAATTTGTCTTGTAAAGCTGCACGTGCACATATGAACCTCCGACAGAGGTAAGTCACTAATTAAAAAAAAAAGTACTAAATAATTCTCAAATTTTCTAACTTGTCCTATAAATAGAAACAAATCACTCTGCAAAATGTTGTCCTACAAACAGAAACTGAGGACAACCAACTTTAAGATACTTGAAAGCATTTTAGTATAGTTAGTAAGGTTTTATTCATAAATAAGTCCCTTGTTCAGAGTTCATATGTAAATTTGCCTATGTAATTCGACTTGAGTTCAGTATAGATAAGTTCCTTGAATAAGTCTTCATGTCATTCTTCCAATAAAATAGTGTTGTTGCTATAAGCAAGTAGTTGCATTACAAACCTAGTTTCATCATAAATAAATGTTCTGACTAAAATAGCGTAATTGAACAAATATAGAAGCACACAACATAAATATAGAATCAAAAGCAGTTTTTAAATAATGACTTAAAGGATATCAGGTCCTATCATCTTCAGTGTCACACACAGCAATAACCGTGTCCTGCATATTACATTACCAAAAAGAATTAGAATAATTGAGAGGCATGCCACAAACAACTTTCAAATTCGACTTAGTACCATATGATTATTTGGCTCTAATATAATTAATTAATTTTAGGCATTCTAACTGCGGGAGGAGAAGCTCATGAAGTGTATTCATCATCGACATAATATAAAATGAAGTCAAACAGCGGGGGCACATACGGATCTGATTAGTCACTTCCCAGTAGCACCCATCCAGGGTCGTCTTATTTAGAAGCACACTTCCATTATTGGAGCTCACTCTCTGAGGGGGTCTTAATTGATTGCAAGATTCAGCAGAGAATGTTTAGAGAGAGGGCAGAGCTCGAGGCCTCTGCATATGAGATATAATTGTGGCAGGTCAAATAATTCAACATATGTCAACATGGGAATTTCAATAGCAGGGTCAAAATAGCTGTTTCTGCACAAGGGCCATGAGTTCGTCAACATTCTCTAACCTGCGTTTTGCCCTTCATGCCTGTTGCGATTCTAACAATAGCTAGGGGCGAACCATTACATGCCGATACCACTTTCTTTACCAAGCTCTCTTCCAAAAACAATTCTTCATGGACTCCCAAAAACTTTCTGAACAAATCCCAAGAATCTTCTAAATTTAGACCTACCACTTTTACTACCTTCTTGCAGTCCATATGTTGACACACTTCCCTTATCCGAGTGGTCAAAATCAATTTAATTCGATTACTTGACATAGGAAATCTAAGGTCCTTTAGAGAGAAATGATCCCAAATGTCATCTGAGATAATAATACACTTCTTCATCTCCTTGAATGCTTGAAATAATTTTCTAGCAATTCTTTTACAAGGCTCATCAGATATATCCAACTTAATTGATTTAGCTATGACTTTTTACAACTTGTACAAGTTGATATTTTGTGATACAGTCACCCAAATAACTTTAATGTCACCATTGGCTTCTTCTAAAGCTTATCATGAATATGGGTTGCTAAGGTTATTTTTCTTGAACCCGCTATTCCTCAAACGCCAATTATTGACACCTTGTCACCCGTTATCCACTCCCATATTTGTTTATCATCATTTTGAGAATCGCACCCAATTAAATCTGTTGTAGGCAATATATAATCTTTGGAAGATTAGCAACAAAAATAGTAATAAATAATTAAGTAAAGATAGTTAGACAAGTTAAAAAAAAATTACAAAATATGGCATTTAAATTTTAAGCAGTCGTGTACATACTCCCTCCGTCCCTATGTGGAAATCACATTTTGGAAGATTTCAAGAATTCAAAATGTAAGTCACCAGAAAATTTGGGCGGCATTAAATATTTTTCCTCGCCTGTCCCTCGCTAAGTAATCAAAAAGTTATGGAGAAAAGAGTGGCAAAGAGGAAAATATGAGAGAAGGTTACAATTTGATGAGAGTAATTTTTTAAGGTTATGACAATTTTTTTGGCCAAAAAGAAGTTATGAAAATTTTAAAAGTTTAAAAACAAATTCATAAATGACAAACAAATGGAGTTGGATATAAATTTTATATCCTGATACTCATACTTTCTTCTAAACGATCTTGTCTATTTACTCTGGCAACTCGTAATCTTTTATTGCCATCTTGCTTTTCAACTTGTGCGTAGTGGCGTCTTGCTTTGTCATATAGATTTTGTTTTTCTGGGTTCAGGTCACTGTTGAGCAACTTCATAGCCAAATCCTCCTTTTCTTTTTCACTGTCAAACTACATAGTCATCCGTATCATTTATATGACTAAGGGTGTGTTTGGGATGAAGAAAATGGAGGGGAGGAAAAGAAAGAGAGAATTTTAATGAGACCCATTTAAAAAATTGGAGAAATGGAGGTAAAACTCTTTAATTAATTCTTAGCACTTTTTTATTTTACATATTCTCTTTTTTAAAATTTTAAAACCCTGTTTCTTTAATTTTTTTTTTAAATCGATCTCGTTAAAATTTCCTCGTTCTTATCTTCCCCTCCATTTACTTCACGGGGTAAGAGAGAGTACTTGAGTGCCGGTGTAGGACTATGTGCGGGCATTTGTGAGTGCTTACCTATGAGTCTACGATTATATGTTTGTAAGAGGCATACCAGAAATGAAGGATTTCTCTTCACATAATTATCGGGTTGTTCCATGAACTTCATTACAAAGATACCACAGTCAAATCTACAAATTATAATATACAAATATGATAAGGTCATGGTAAAAACTTTTTTAGAAAGGTTTATATAATTTTACATAATAGTGGTCCACTCACCCATTGCGCTGTGGGAGGATGGCGTTTTCCATCTTGGAACGAAATTTCGTAAATGCTACATTCACGATGAGTTTTTCCATGGCAAGCAACTAGATATAAAGCAGAAATTCTATATAATCAAAAGAACAATCATCGATTAATGTTCTGAATATTCCAATTATCTAACACTCACCAATTTTTTTATTGTCTCATTGTGTTCTGTTTCAGTCACAAATGTATCGAGTAGAGAATCCCATATTTCAGTCTCTTCGTTCTCTAAATGGATAATGTATAAATAAAAATGTCCACCATTTGGGTTTGCTCCAATGTGAACAGGAATAAACACTTATCATTTGTGATAACAGAAGTCAAATTGACATGGCGAGAAGAAAACAAAGCAATCATGCTGACAAAGAAACTTTTCTATAAAGAGTTGGAAAATTATACCTTCTCACAGGATTCCAGGTCAAACATATAATTTTCTCTTCTTCTTTTTTTTTGGTGATGGACAAAGTTCAAGAAGTGACCTATACTGCCTTTGAGTGCTGCATCCGATAATTACGTTATGGATGAACCATTAAAAGTAATTATCAATGTACTAGTTTTAGATTTAAAAAAAAAACTATTGGCATACATCATATAACAGAAAAGGGAATAGGAAAACACCGAAAATGTCACAGGGAGATACCAATTCGAAGGTATAGTTTTTTTTTTCCTTTCGCTCAATATCAGTTAATATCTCCACAAAAATATATATTGCCTAAGAATGGATAGAGCTTAATATTAATATAACTAAAACCGTGGTCATTAAAATTGAAATAGAATATAAAAATATAATAAATAGATACTCACGAATGAATCCAAAAAATTCTCTGATTTAAGTGTGGCAAATTCTTCTTGAGTCAAATATGAAAGTGGAGAAATAAAAACCTTATCTTCAGGACTGAAGAATTAGAACGATATACTTATCACAAAATAGAACTAGGGTGATTCAAAAAGCAAAACGAAAATAGAATACATTCATACGGAGGTACGAATCCAACCTTAGATATTCAAACACATATTGTATGACCTGCAAGTCTCCATTCTCTCTACTGGAAATAGAAGATGACCCAACTTGAATCATTTCTTGATGCTTAGCTTCAGCTTGGATTTGTCCTGCTTCGTTGGACACGCTATCATCTATTAGACCATCCAATGAGATTTCTTACTACAAAAACGATAAACATTACCGGAACTAAAGGAAGATTTAAAACTCTTCACCTCTGTCTGAAAAGTAAAGGAGTGTCTAATTAATGTTTTCTTCATTTAAACCTATATAGCGTAAGTTAAGGAAAAAAAATCTCTCTGTGAATTTAAAAAGATAGGAGAGAGTATAATAATATATAATTAAATTATTTTAACTAATTTTTATAATTAAAAAATAGTAGTTAACTCATTAAATTTATCTCAAATTGAATTTTTTTTTAAATTTACCTATATCAAATAAGGTTGTGGGGAAAATAATGCAACGAATTACATTGAAGTATTCATTCCAGAGATAAAATTGACAGACGAATATTAATTAGTCCCAAAATGATTTAGATTTTTAATCAATTCTTACTAGTATTTTAGAAGTGCCTTATGTTATGAAATAGACGGAATACCTTGTTGAGAATGTAGGAGGTCGTCTCTTAAATCATTGGAGTTTCTTCCTTTCTCTGAAACAAAATTTGGACAGACTCGAATGCCCTTGCCCTTGTCTCTATTAATATGAGATTTAATTCTGTTAGCACTTGATGCAAATTCCCAGCCACAATATTTGCACTTCACTCGTCGTCGTCCCCCCAATAGCTCAGCGTGTAGCCACACGTCATCCCTTGGCCTTCCACCTACCTTTCCCATTATTACCGTTCCTATATGCTGAACCAAAGTAGTAATGAAATTTGAAGACATACAGTTCCACAGTTTGAAATGTAGCTTTTCAGAGCATGACTTTTTGATATGTTTAGGGCTTGAGTTTTCGTTGGTAAATCCAATCTACTTTTCCTGCACATACAAAATCATTTACCTTTCCTTAATAGGCATGCAATTTGATCGAGCCAAGTCATGAAGGGGTGAAGATTATTGCACGCCACGCAACTTCAGAGATTGATCAATCTTGAATCAGTCTGTGCAAAGGCAGATTCAGATAGTGACAAAACGAAGATGAAAATCGGGTCACATAATAATCAAATGGAAAAGCAGAGCAAAGAGAAAAAATCACTGAATGCTACTTCAAGTTGAGGATCGAAGCGTGGCGGACGACTGACTCTGGTGAGAAGCAGTAGTGCTGCTGACTTGATGCCTCAACGCAGAAGAAAACGCGTTAATAAATGAAAATGGACAAATTAAGAATCACCATATAGTGTTCCCCGCTACCGCCCGGTGCATGCCAACAAAAGTCTGTTCCTTTTTCACTAAATGCAAGATTCTTTCACCTAATTTAAGGGCAGATCTGTGGAAATAAGAGTTTTAATATAATCTGAGTCACATCTAAATGATTTTTTTCTTAAAGACTATTAAAGTCCGCTTGTACAGATTCCCCTAAAGATAAAGCATCCTTCCTAAACAAATTGGGGAGCAACACGAGGGAGACAAATTGCAACTCAAAGATGAAAAACGCAAGAAAAACTATTATATTCAACTTCCCTTTTTCTTTTCTTTCCTTTTTTTTTTTTTGTGGTTATGGCCATCATATCCCTAACTTCCTTTTCGAGGTAGCAAGTAGATACCTATTTTGTGAATTTTCCTCTCTTCCATCCTCATCAGAAGTCACCAAACAATATATTCCCTCCATCCCTAGATATAATAATATATTTAGTTGCCAAAATTATGTACATAGAGGAGCTTAATTATCTGTGTCTTAATATATTCCTTTTCAAATTCGCTCCTACTTAAATAAATTTTGTAATAGTAAAATCATTAAGGAATGGGAAAAATCATTAAATAGGAACAAGTAGGGATCCAACAAATCAAATTATCATATAGATTCTTAAATTTTATGAGAAATAAATCAACGGATAATAAATGTAAACTTTGAAAAATAGTATATGTATATATATTATTCTAAGGGAATTTTTACAGATTTACAAGTTAAGCAGAAATTTTGTCTTACGTTAAGGTGCATTCAATATCTCAGAATATTTTCTCAAATATATCTAGCACCTTAAAGTATTTTATAGTATATTCAGCACCTTGAAATAATTTTTTAAGTATGTCCAGCACCTTAAAGGTTTTTTTTTTGTGTGCATTCAATACTCTAAAATATTTGTTTTAAATGCGTCCAATTCTGAAAAATATTTTTTTGGTGCATTCAACATCAAAGCAAAAAGAAAAAAAAACTCTAGCGTCCTAAATGCATCCAAAAATATTTTAAGATGTTAGATACACCACGAAATATTTTCAGGTATTGAATGCACTTCAACAAATACTTCTAGATATTGGATGCACTTTGACCTTTTTGTCTTTCGCCTGTTTAAGAGGAAAAGAGACTTTACTATACTTTAGCGAATTTCCCCGGCTTATTTATAAACAACTCTTTTATCTTGGATGTATTTATATTTTTCTTTTCATTTTTTATACATCCTTGTCTTTCCATGTAATTGTATCGTCGGCCAATTTGACCGCAAATAAATAAATTTCTTGTTGAATATGTCGTCTTCTCTACGCTAAATAAGAAATAAGAATAATGTCTATTTAATTTATTCGGCGCCGTTCGATAATGCCGAAACAGCCTACAATGTTCCCCTGCAATCTGCATGTGAGGCCTATTACAATATCAATCAATATTATGAAACCAAAGTGCTTCTACTTTTCCTATCGGGAATTACAATCAGGTACCCAGAGAAAAGGCTTTAATTGCCCCGAAACTTGTTGACAATTGAAGAGCATGTAATGATAAATTTTAAAATAGAAAATGACAACAGGTTTTTTGATAATTAAATTTCTTTTTTAGAACCTCATGATAATTTTTTCTGTTTTTTTTTTATATGTGTTGAGCGTGACATTATTAAACTAGTGAGCTGTTGTGAAACAACTTAATGTTATCGTAGGCTTGGGCTGTGAAGAGGGCACTGGTGGGCTAGCTACTTCGGGCTTAAGAGGAAAGCAGAAGGGCATGGCAGAGGTGTAATGACTTATTGACTGTTTGGTACCAAGTAAAAGCAAACAAAAAATACTTCAGACAAAACTCCTCTCTTATACTTATTTTATATATTATAAAATTATTTTTAAAATCATGATTTGATTTTCAGCCAAATGTCTAATTAAGGCATTGTCAATAAGAATTGATTTAGTTGATAAAAAATAACTTATCACTCATAAAATTATGAGTTTGAATCTATAAGCTCTCTCAGCATCTAAACCTTTTTATACCAGCAAAAAAAAAGGAATTAGTTATGGCATTCTATTGTAGTGTGTGTGTGTGTATAACACACAAATATAATAACGTTTTTATTACGCAACAACGTAATGCCTACACTGGTGCATATAAAAATAAATACATTTAAGACATATTCATAGAATAAGTTATGGTGTCATTCTTCCAACAAAAAGGGATTAGAACTGCGAATATATGGCCCTGTAATTGAAATGCATGCTACAAATAACCTGGCTGCTCTGCCTTGCAAGTGACAGAATAATTGACAATATCATTCGGAACTTAGGAGATGAGGTACATTCACACTGATTGACACCCTGAATTGTGTAGTATTGCGCACTTTGAACATTCAAATAAAAGGCATAAAGAGATGATCAAGTCATATATCCAACAAATTGGCTTCCCTTTGTTGAGATTTATTTATGATATTTGTTGTAATTTATAATAAACAAAATTTAAATTATTGGAACATTAATTATTTTTATTGGTAGGCATTCAAAAACTGACAAGCGTCCAAGGTCGGCGATCACAAGTAGACAGAGAGAAATAAACAAGACAAAAAGGAACATATGATTATTTGGCTCTCACATATAAATTAATTTTACTTTTTGTCATTAAAGAGGAGAAGCTCTTGAAGTATATTTGAAGCATGAGGAGGAATAAATACATGGACCTGATTAATCACTTTTACCATTGGTATCCAGTTGAGGTCAAGTCCATCGAAAGCTCACATCCATTATTTGAGATCGCTATCTGAGGATGAATTAGTTCCTTGCAGTCATCAGCAAAGAATCTCCGGAGAGAAGGGCAGAGCATGATGCCTCTGTATACGAAATCTAATTGTGGCATGTGCCATAATGTTAGAGATGTCAACATGGGAAGTTCAATTGTAGGGTGAGACAAGTTGTTAAGCAGAAGGGCAAAGTTGTTATGAAGAAGGTCCATGAGGTCAGCAATAAAAGTAGGTTCCATTACAGAATGCTTTTCTCCAACTATTTCTCTCATCTTCTCACAAGAAGAAACGAAAATGTAGCGCAGGTTTCGGAGGAGTGCTAGTAACTTGAACGCGATCAGAGTCTCCATGCTGTTGCAATGCGCAATCGAAAGACTTGTGAGTTGAGAAAATAGGGTGGATTCATGCAAGGAATCAGCAAATGGTGACATCAAATTTTTCAAATCCTTCCTTTCATGGAGGCATAGACGTCCAACGAGTTGGGAAGAGGAGCAAAAGGGGCAAGTGCTACAACACAAGTAATCCACATTTGCATAATACCAGACATCCAACTCTTCAATTTGGTGTGGATTATTGTTGAGGCCATATGATAAAACACTGCAAAGGGACCTAGCACCTGTCCAGTGGCAGCAATTCTGTATACCCAACTGCTTGATGTCTCCTGCGAGTACTACTCTGTTTCTCAAATCCATAGCCCTAAAAATTATCTTCTCCGCAGAACTTTGAGTTATTATCCCGTCATCTTCGAAACAAATACGTTTATGTTGCAAAGTTAAACGATAACTTTCGAGTACATGACTCTTGGCTGGGATGCTTACAAAGCTATCGAAGACATTAATGGCATAGAAGGTGGCAAGTACAAGTTCCAACTTTTCCAAACCTTGGGTGCCATGTACTGTCACATCCGTTTTGTATAGGGGACCACCCAGCTCAAGATGCTCTGAGTTGATCAATTTGGATATGAGCGATATTGACATTGCCAGCTTATCTGTATGGAACAGATTCAGGTATCTAAGATTGACCAATGATTCCAATCCAACAGGTGCTTCAGTGATAGCGGCAGAACACAGATCCAATGACATTAACCGTTTCAATTTTATTAATGAAGGAATGTAACTCAATTTTGTACATCCTGAGAGTAGTAATGCAATGAGACATTTTAAGTTTGACACCGATTCAGACAAATGCTTGATCACAGTCTCAGACAAATCAAGTGTTTTAAGAGTAGGCATGTGGCTGAAAAAATCATCTGAGATGTAGTTAATTGAGTTTTGCATTGTGATTCAAAAGCAATGTAAAAAGCTGAAACCACCTAGGACATGTGCCATCTGGAATTGTTAGTATCTTATTCCCCGTCAGAAAAACTTTTTGAAGATTTTCCTTTCATTGGTCATCACTTGGTATTTTTGTCAAATTCTTATGAGCTTTTCCCATAATTTTACAAGTGTCGTCTGCAATACCAATAGGTAGGAGTCTAAGAAATTTGTTTATCATCCATTCACCATCATAATCCAACACACTATGATTCTTTAATTTACCAAACATGTTGAGACCTTCATTGTATTGCACCCTCAACTTCTCTGTCTTGTCAATGCTTTCATAAACAAACCTTCTTATCAAATGATCAACAGTGTAATTAGAAAAATTTCTGCTGGTACTTAAGGCACAATGCAAGAAGAATCTTTGTAATTTGTTATTTAAGAAATCATAGCTAAATCTCAAAACTGGAAATACCCATTTGTCCATTTCATATTGTCCATGGCCCAAGTTTTCAAGACATTCCAACATATGTCTCCATTCTTCAGTCTCTGTTTTCCCCTTCATGCTTGTCGCGATTATAACAATAGCTAGGGGCAAACCCTCACATTTTCGTGCCATATTCTGTGCAATGTTTTTCACTTCCAAAGATAGTTCTTCATGGAATAATCCCAAAAAACTCATCAAACAGAGCCCAACTATCTTCCTCATTTAGAGGCTCCACTTTTATCAACTTCTTACAACTCATACCTTGACACACTTCCCTTATACAGGTAGTCAAAATCAATTTAATTTGGTTTCCTAACACTTAAGTTTTTTTTCCCCCGTACTATCTCTTACAGATACTCACCACGCAATTTATGTTAATTTACAATTTAATATTAGTGTCAAAATATGATAACCTTAAATAAAATATTTTGCTCATTTTATTGTTAATAAAAAACATAGGGGGAAAGACCATAGCAGCTCCAAATGCAACCAAACACAAAAAGCTGTGGCACTGGCACCTTTGTCTGTAATGTAAATACAAATTCAAAAGACTCATCAAAGAATTAATGGCAAATTGTCTTCAGTTGGAGATGAGTAAAAGACTAATCAAACCTCAATTTATGAAATTATCTTCTTCTTATGTTCGTCCCTATATACACTTTGTATTGTAATAATACTTTCGATTTTTAATGTAAGATCTAGTTTGACTTTTAATTTGATCCTAAATATAAGACTCTAATCTACTTTGTCTCTTATATTTATTCATTTTTCCTCAAAGTAGTTCTTATAACAGTTACACATATCGAATATTTCATCAAATGGTAGTTTTAGTCAATATACATGATTAGAAAGGGTATTTTAAGAAAAATAATACCTATCTATTACAAATAACTAACTTAATAAAATTTCTTAATGTATTCAAATTAATCAACTAGCTCTTATATTAAGGACCAGATATAGTATTTTTTTTATTGGTATATAAAATTTTCTTTTTATATTAAAAAACATTAATGGTAAATGATGATAGGAGATTAATCAATGTTCTGAATATAGAAGCAGCCATTAATTCTGCATAATTCACACTAGGAAAAGTCGAGGAGGTCAGCTTAAGCTTCAACGCTATCATGGTGATGAAGAGTGAATTCCTTTTTTAAAGAAAAGGTTTGACCACAAGACTACAAGTATAGTATATATAATGATTTTTAAAGGCTGAATTAATTAATATAGGTTATGAAATTTTAGATTATGACTGGAATTTAATTTTAATTTTTTTAAAAAGGCCAGCCCCAAAATTGGTGGCAGGCAGAAGAATTGTAGCTACAAATCAAAAGTAGAGGTCGAAGATAGATTGAAATTCTCAATTTAGTTTAATTAACAAGTAACATATAACGTGAAATAAATCATTAATTTGGATAGTGCTCGTGGAATCTGATGAAGTCAAAAAGAATTATCATTTGGACATTTTTTTTCCAATTTACATGACTACACGGAACTTGCAATCTGTATAAAATAGTCCAACAAAATGGATCTTTCACCCTAATGGGCTTTTTGTTCCAAACATGCCCTGTTTTTCTTCCCTACAACGTATTTTCTTGTATTTTCTGCCTCCTCTCATCTAGAGAAAATTGACCCTCCAAATGGTTTGCGAGAAATCTGATTCAGAAACTCGCCTAGCTTCTTCTTGTTCTTGTTTGTGCTCTTCTCATCACAGCCTTTTCTGCAAATATGAAAGCTCATGTCATGAAGAAAGACTTCGATTTTGTCATATTTTGTAACTTTGAAATATTTTGGGCCCAATTTCTCATTTACTTACCTGGCTTAATGATGCTCCTGCTAGGGATTCCAACAACTTCAAAGATTCCTAGCTGATCCTCCAAATCTATCATGTTTGCGAATTTGTGCGTTAACATTACCATCATCGAGGGTGTTAGAGTTCTTAGAAACAGTTTTATGAGCTTGGTTTAGCCTGACCACAACGTCGTCGTTTGGATCTAAGGCTCCACAGGTGATCAAGTTGCGAAACAAACCAGAAGCTCATGCATGTTGAAAATCTCTTACTTCCTGTCAAGGGAGATAATGATGATGAAGAAGAAGATGATGATAATGAAATTGAAAATGATGTCTCTGGGTCTTGTTTGCCTGTGTCCACAAGTTTGTATGGTTCAACCTTTCAAGATTCACTTTCATCCGGTAATGTCTGTGTCAAGAGCTTATTTCTGATGATAGCTGATCCTGAGAATTTGGTTTGAAATATGGAAATCTTTCAAGTTGAAGTTCTTCTGGTATCAATGGTTGTTTCTGCTTCAACTGCTTGCCCTCTCTATCATGTACTTGAACATGAATCTCCTTGTTCAACATGGAAGCTTTCCTTTCACCAAATATAAAAGTTTCTGCATAATCAAAGAGGCTTCTCAACAAATACTTACATAACTTATTTTGAAAATTATTACCAAATGACAACACTCCACCATTTCATTTGAAGGACATACCAAGAGGCAGGGTGTGTTTGAGATCCTTTAAGGACGTATTCATTATCAGAGATTGGAGTAATGAGATCATCACCTAACAAGTCTTGCCACACGTAACCTGTCTTGTATCTCCTGCTTAAAATTTGAATCCACAAATCGCACACTTCAACTCATTCAAAAAAATCAAAAACAGAGTATAAAGATACCATTCATTCTAGCTTTTGTAGGACCATGCATATGTGTCTGTCAAATCCTTCCCTCTCACTTCTCCAATCCATCTCTTCACATCTTTGATCACATAAACAAAGTTCATAAATCATGACCTCTAAAAGCGAGAATAGGGCACTACACACAAAGACAGAGGAGCTTGTAATTCGTAAACCCACCATCTCAAAAACCACAACCGTAATTCATGCCATTGTTGTCTCTTTGTTTAGCTAAATCTTAACGTACGAATAAAACGCTTAATAATGTGGTTTTTCATGTTATAAAGACAAGTCTAAAACCTTAAAGAAATAGAGTATTAAAAGACAGAAGAGAGAAGCATATAACATTAGAGGTGAGAATCAACAAATTATGACATGTGCAAGTGAGAAACAAAGTACCAAGTACAGAGGTCAAAAGTGAGAGAAACTTTCTTAAGTCTAACAAATATGCGGTGAAAGAAACAAGGAAATGAAGCCACCTCGAAGATTGACCCCGTTACGAGCCAGATGATGAATACGTATGAGATGTGGTTCTTCAGAACAACCCATCAAACTGAGGAAGTACACTATATGAATCCTTCTCACTTCACCACCTTTACTTCCTTCCATCTCCCTTCTCTCTCTCTCTCTCTCTCTGCTGCAATCATAAATCTCTCTTCCTTCAATTCACAAACTTAACTCTCTGCTACTTCTTTTTTTTTTTTGGCCAACAAATCTCTGCTACTTTGCAAGCAAGCAATGGCAATATATATGTACACTGTAGAAATCATTTAACATGCGATGAGAAGAAAGATCTCTGTCTCTCATGGTGCTGGCAGCTACTAAAATAGGAACTGATAAGAGCCCAATATGGCCTTTCGATGTCGGATTGATTTGTCGTCTTCAACATGTTGACTTATGTTGAATTAAATAATTTGGTTTGCTATAAAAATTGAAGATAATGTAGGCCTGCTGGAAACAAAGTCACATATGGAGTGCTGGTGTGTGCCTGTTTTCTTTAAATAATTTGGATATTCTCATGCCTGGTTTCCAATTTTATATAAAACATATTATTTACATAAAACACTACTGTTTATTTATCCATTTATAATTATAATTAATCGTCAGTTCTTATCACAACATTATTCTCAAAAGAGGCGAATTTTTTTTCTTTCTTTCCGTTGCCATTCATATAGCATCTTTCGTTTTTGTTTTTAAAAGTTTGATTAAATTTTAAACCTTAATTTTTAAAATAATTCAACTGCAAATACAACATGATTTTTTTTCTCAAAGTCAGCTTTTTGATTCATGATGACAAAATATTTATTTGTACTGTATGGCTGGCATTCATAGTTAACATGTAGTATCTTGAAGAATAGATATGCCGCGTGCATTTTCGTAAATTTGTGACATAAAAATTTTAAAAGTTCACAATCAATTTTTATTTGTAATTGGAATACTTATTTTTTTAAATGTTGAAAATTATGTACAATCTAATGCGTATAAAATTATAATGATTCCACTTAAACAAAAACGTTGACAACTTAACGAGAATTGATAAATGGTTTCATTTCAAATATAACAGTACATAATAAAAAAGTAAAAAAATAAATTACTGTCTTTAAAATGATAAAAATGATAATATTAAAGATATATTTTCCCAGTCAACAATTAGCGCACCTATTAGATCGAGCTATGTTAATTTGTAAAGAGATAAATTAGAAAAAGACGGAATCATTGTAACTATGATATGTGAACCTTTATAATGAGTCACATTTTCTCCCTCAGGTCACTAATAATAAAAAAAAACTAAATAATTCTCAACTTTTCTAATTTGTCTTATAAATAGAAACAAGTCACTCTCGAAAATGTTGCCCTACAAGTAGAAACTGAGGACAACCAATTTTAAGATAATTGAAAGTATTTTAGTAAAATTTGCAAGGTTTTATTCACAAACAAGTCCCATATTCAGAGTTTATATGTAAATTTGCCTATGTAATTCGTCTTGAGTTCAATACAAATAATTACCTTGAATAAGTGTTCGTGTCATTCTTCCAACAAATAGTTCAGTTAAAACAAGCAAATAGTTGCATTACAAACTTAGTTTCATCATAAATGTACCCATTAAAATTGTGTAGTTGAACAGACATAGAAGAAGACAATATAAATATAGAATCAAAAGAAGTTCTTAAATGATGGCTTAACTCATCACTTTCAGCGTCTCACGCGACAAAAACCGTATCCTGCATTTGACATTACAAAAAAGAATGAGGATAATTGAGACACATGCGACAAACAACTTTGCAACTATATTTCACTGAGTGAATAATTGAAAATATCATGAGCAACTTGGGAGATGAGATATATTCACAATGATTAATATCCCGGATTGAGTAGTAGCGCTGGTGCACGCTTCGAACATTCAAATTGGAAAAAAAAAAAAAAGAGATGATGAGATTTTATATCCTACAAATTCGCTTCCTTTTGTTGAGATTTATTTATGATATTCGATGTAGTAATTTATAACAAACAAAATGCCAATTATTGGAACATTAATTGTCCTTGTTGGCAGGCATTCAGAAACTGATATGAGAGTGCAAGGTTAGCGATGATCACAAAAATCAAGTACAACGCAGGCAGATGGAGAGAAATAAAGAAGACAAAAGGAAACATATGAATGATTATTTGAAGCACGAGGAGAAATAAACACAGGCAGTAACGATATTCATCATAAACATAGTATAAAAGTAAGTCAGAGTGGAGCGGAGATGGACCTGATTAATCACTTTCGCCAATGGTAATTAGCCCATAAGTTCTTCTCCATCAGAAGCACACTTCCATTATTTGAGATCGCTATCTGAGGGGGATTTAGTTTCCAGCAAAAATAAGCATCGAATTTTTGGAGAGAAGGGCAGAGCATGATGCCCCTGTATACGAAATCTAATTCTGGCATTTTGTCTAATTCCAGAGATGTCAAGTTGGGAAGAGTGATAGTAGGGTGAGAGAGGGCCCTGAGGTCGCCACTAGCAGTAAGTTCCATTACAGAATGATCCTCTCCAACTATTTCTTTCATCCGCCTACAAAACTGAACGCAAATGGTGCGCAGGTTTTGTAGGAGTGCCAATAACCTAAACGGCATCAGAGTCTTCATGCTGCCACATTCCGAAATTCGGAGATGTGTGAGATGAGAAAATAGGGTGGACTGATGCAAGGAATCAGCAGATGGCGACACCAAATCTTTCAAGTCGTTCATTTCCCAGAGGCGTAGACGTCCAATGAGTCGGGAAGAGGAGCAAAAGGGGCAACTGCAACAAAACAAGTACTCCGCATCTTCACAGAATTCAATATTCAACAACTCAATTTGGTGCGGATTATCGTAGTGGGCATATGATAAAATATTGCATAGGGATCTACCACCTGTCCCTAGGAAACAATCTCCTATAAACAAATTCTTGATGTCTCCTGGGATTACTACTGCTTCTCTAATTTTGAAATTCGTACCCTCAAGAATTATGCTTTTCATAGAATATTCTTTGTTTATTTTCTCATCATCACTAAAATAATAAATTTCATGGTATAAAGTTAATCGATAGCTTCTGATCTCATGATTTTCAGCCACGAACCTCATGAAGGCATTGAAGATGCTAATGTCATGAAAGTAGGCACGTGTAACTTCTAACTTTCCCAAACCTTGTGCACTTTGTACTAAGGCGTCCGTTAAGCATTGGGCCCGGCCCAACTCAAGACACTCTAAATTGATCAGTTTGGATATGAGCGATGGTGATATTACCAACTTATCAGTCTTGAGTAGATTCAGACATCTAAGATTGACCAATGATTCCAAACCCACAGGTGCCTCAGCGATGGCAGTATAAGATAGATCCAGTGATATTAACCGTTTCAATTTTCCTAATGAAGGAATGTACCACAATTTTGTACATCCTGAAAGTAACAATGCAATGAGACATATTAAGTTGGATACCGATTCGGGCAAACGCTGGATTGCAGTCATAGACAAATCGAGTGTTTTAAGAGCAGGCATGTTATTGAAAAACTCATCCGTGATG